TGCAACTTGGACCTCCAGCAGCGTTTCCGCAACGAGAACATCACAGAGGAGGAGCTGGTGGAACTGATGCAACGATTTGTCGATGAGGCCAAGAAAGGCGAACATAAAGAGCGCGGCTGGCCTGACGGGGCCTATACAGTGTCTAAAATTGGATTGACCGTACGTTTGATTAATGTGTTCGCTGTTATTAACCAGAGACATGAACATTTGACCTGAAACCATATTATGAGACACTGATTATATTTGTGTGTGGATGTTTTTAAAGGTGCTGTCCGTGATTCATGCTCGTCGTCTGAGCAAGGAGAGACCGAATGACGGGGTAACTGAAATCTATAACTAACAATGCAGAACTTCTATATTCAGTGGGGTTTTTGTCATGGTTTTATGTCCATTAAATCGTCGTTGCTAACATTTTGTTTTTAAATTTGATTCTTTTAAAAGATCCTTTTGAACGCCTGCTGCCCAGGATGGGTGCGCACTGACATGGCTGGACCAACTGCTCCCAAGTCACCAGACGAGGGCGCTGTCACACCGGTCTACCTGGCTTTGCTGCCATCTGGAGCCAAAGAGCCTCATGGAATGTATCTCTCGGACAAGGAAGTCCAGCCGTGGTGAAAGAGAGTTTAACATGAAAAATAATTTGCAAAGAAAGTTTGTCTCTGAAAAGACTGTTCAGAAGTGGTGATGAGCGTGTGAGACTCGCAGTGTTTCCACATCAGCGATAACAAAATGGGGTGAAATCGAAACTGTGAAACATTTAAAGAATGAAAGTCACCCAACAACAAAAAAACTGTAACATAAACTGACATTGCTAAAGCTCAGGGATGTTTTTTTTAGGACAGAGTTTAACTCTTATCCAAATATTTTGATAATAAAACCAAAATTGTTCATTTTATTCTCAGTGTGAAGGACCGAGCAGTGAAGGAAACTTAGGCACAGGTTAAAGTCCAAAAAAATGATTTTTTATTTAACCCAAAAAACATAATTGGTTAACTCATGCAAAAAGAATCAAAATCTTGGGCCCATAAAAGAGGTCAAACTAACAAAAACTCTACTCAAAGTTGACAACACTACTGATAACTCAAACAAACTGACCTAACTTAATGAGACAAAGGGGAAACTTAAATAGTGGCTGATCAGCCCACAAAAACAGGAGAAGGGGTAAAACACACAAAACCTAACTAAACCAAACATAATGAACTCCAATTCCTCCCCATGGTCCTGAGTTATGGCATGAACCAATTTGTAGTCTTCCTTTAAAGCTCACTCCGCCCCTTTTCCACCTCTTGGCTCCTTAATCAAGGGACTGGAACAGCTGCAACTAAGGTAACTCAGAAAACAAAAAATTAATCATACATAACAGTGTAAACTAAAATGTGCGCACTTATTTTAGAATGCAGTGTTATGTGGATATGTGAATTAACTCTAAACCAAAACCAGTTATTTATTGTCCTGTAAATAAATTCCTATATTTAAAGAAAGAAATGTGAATGCAAGGTTACTTATAAGCCTCTACACTAACATGGTGATATTACCACTGTGTGGCTGTAAGTGCAGCCATCACACTCAGTAACAGTACAGTACTGTGTTATGTGTGTGTCTGCTAGCTGGAATGAATCAAAATGAAAGTGAATCCGTGAAATGTCGAATTGTCGGCAAAGCCTTCAGTACATAACATTTTCATATCTTTGACATCATAAACTTGCCTTAACTGGATGAAGCTAATTGTTCAGAATTACTAGAAAATGTGTTTGTTTTATACAAAATGCTGTTTTTTTGTGTTTCTTTAAAATAAAACATGTGGATCTCCAGTCAAAATACCAAATAAAGTGACTTCAAAACATAAGGTTGAGTGGTCTGAATGTTACAGTGTCCCTGTATTACACACCCAGAGTGCATCAGCCACTCCTCCACCATCTTCACCTTTTCTTTGGTTTGTCCAGTTTCCTCTTCACGTTTCTGTAAGGAAATCTGTCTCCAGCATCTCGGAGCTCTCGGATATTTTCTCTATAATAAGATTCTTTGGAACATTTTTGGCCATTTTGAGAATAAGCAAACCTGTAAAAGCTGATGCTCTGCACTTAACCAGCGTATAAACTATTGTCTGTTTAATCAGGACAGCAGCAGTTTTCAGCTGTATTAACAGAATAATTTTTTTCATTTTGGTTCAGTATTGAATGTTGTTTTATGTGTACTTTTAATATTCAACTACCTGTTAGTTTATCATTGCTTTACATGCTGATAATGTTCAAAACTCCACCCAGCTTCCCTCCCACTATTTGCAGTATATCATTCATTGTCCTCTGCATCCCTCTCAGTGCTGCTACAGCTCCCTTCAGAATCACAACAGCAGTAAGTAAGTAAGAAACCTTTTTTATCTTTTGTTCCACATTTGGTAGCTGACTGTTTCTTAAAATCTTCTCATAATTCTGAGGAAATGGTTATATCTACAGTGGGGCAAAAAAGTATTTAGTCAGCCACCGATTGTGCAAGTTTCCCCACCTAACATGATGACAGAGGTCAGTAATTTGCACCAGAGGTACACTTCAACTGTGAGAGACAGAATGTGAAAAAAAAAAATCCATGAATCCACATGGTAGGATTTGTAAAGAATTTATTCGTAAATCAGGGTGGAAAATAAGTATTTGGTCAATAACAAAAATACAACTCAATACTTTGTAACATAACCTTTGTTGGCAATAACAGAGGTCAAACGTTTACTATAGGTCTTTACCAGGTTTGCACACACAGTAGCTGGTATTTTGGCCCATTCCTCCATGCAGATCTTCTCGAGAGCAGTGATGTTTTGGGGCTGTCGCCGAGCAACACGGACTTTCAACTCCCGCCACAGATTTTCTATGGGGTTGAGGTCTGGAGACTGGCTAGGCCACTCCAGGACTTTCAAATGCTTCTTACGGAGCCACTCCTTTGTTGCCCGGGCGGTGTGTTTTGGATCATTGTCATGTTGGAAGACCCAGCCTCGTTTCATCTTCAAAGTTCTCACTGATGGAAGGAGGTTTTGGCTCAAAATCTCACGATACATGGCCCCATTCATTCTGTCCTTAACACGGATCAGTCGTCCTGTCCCCTTGGCAGAAAAACAGCCCCATAGCATGATGTTTCCACCCCCATGCTTCACAGTAGGTATGGTGTTCTTGGGATGCAACTCAGTATTCTTCTTCCTCCAAACACGACGAGTTGAGTTTATACCAAAAAGTTCTACTTTGGTTTCATCTGACCACATGACATTCTCCCAATCCTCTGCTGTATCATCCATGTGCTCTCTGGCAAACTTCAGACGGGCCTGGACATGCACTGGCTTCAGCAGCGGAACACGTCTGGCACTGCGGGATTTGATTCCCTGCCGTTGTAGTGTGTTACTGATGGTGACCTTTGTTACTTTGGTCCCAGCTCTCTGCAGGTCATTCACCAGGTCCCCCCGTGTGGTTCTGGGATCTTTGCTCACCGTTCTCATGATCATTTTGACCCCACGCGATGAGATCTTGCGTGGAGCCCCAGATCGAGGGAGATTATCAGTGGTCTTGTATGTCTTCCATTTTCTGATGATTGCTCCCACAGTTGATTTTTTCACACCAAGCTGCTTGCCTATTGTAGATTCACTCTTCCCAGTCCGAGGCTGGAGTGAGGTTCTGGGGGTTCACCGTCTCCGGGCTGGGGCCCTGGCTGGGCCTTGGGGGCTTGGGTCCTGGTTGGTGTGTCGTCGGGGTTGTGGGCGGGTGGGTGTATGGGGGCCCAGCCCTGGCGCGCGGTGCCACCAGTGCATCGAGCCACCTGGGGGGCTCTTCAACTGGTGGGGGAGGCTGTTACATCTTGCAGGAGCTCTCCTCTCTCCAGGAACTCACTCTGTAGGAGGGGGAGATATAGGAGAGGTGGAGGAAGAACTCAGCCTGGGTGTCTATTGTCTTGTGTAGTCTGGAAGATGAGTGGATGACGGGGTGGGTGCAGTTTTCTCTGTGGGGCCGGGCGGCGCTGCTGAACTGGGCCCCGGTCCGGATGGGCCTGGGCCCCCTTGCCCTGGTGGGTTGCAGAGTATGGGGGTGCCTACTGGGTTCAGCTGGCCGCAGGGAGGGGCCTCCCTCTTCCCGCTGCACCACAATCACCCAAACATGCAGGGCCTTGGGGTAAAGGTGTGTCACCAGGGTGCAGGGGAGGCATCCCCCCCTCTGTCCCCTTCTGGCTGCCTGTGCCTCAATTTTATCCCACAACTTAGACACTCACATTACTCACACTCTCATAACACATACATATAGGACCTCTGCTTCTCTCCACCCCAGGGAAGAAGGTAACACTACCTGGATCTGGGTGCAGTTTCCCCCTCCAGGGGCAGGGGTACCTAGACCTGGGGTATAGAGTACGCTTTCCGTACGCGTTCCGGGATAGTGGCGCGGCTCTTCCTTGGTCTCTTGTGCTCTGAGGGCCTCTGGATGTCTGGAGCCTGGATCTCCTCCATACTTGCTTCATGCCCTGGAGGACGGGGCTGTGGCTCCCCACACCCTCTAGCAGATCATTACATGAAGGAACCTTTTAAATACAAGCGCGTCCATGCTCACAGGTGTACACACGGGTGATCACACCCACAAACTACACCCTTTTTGGCTCCTACCTCAAAGCACACTGTGCGCTGTCGATCTTACGTGCTGCACAATGATGTTTAATATTTAGTATTTACTGTTACATTCCCATAGATCATCGCGATGATGTTGTTTATTATATTGCTCTCTTTTTTTACTTGTTTTCTCTTTTTTCTTTCTCAACAGGTGATCCAGGTGATTGATAAATGTATTTTTTGTCTGTTTGTTTTGTTGGTTTTTGTTTTTTGCCCTTTATCACTGTTCCTCTTCCTCGCTGTTTTTCTTTCCCTACCTCTCTATCTTTCTCTTTCCCCCAGTCATCTCTGTCCCGTGTGTAGCAAGTGAAAGTAAAATAAAATAAACAACACCCCCCCCCCCCCCCCCCCAAAAAACAACAACAACAACAAAGAAACAGAAGTCCTCTGCAGAGCTGAATAATTAAACAAAACACCAGAAATACCACCCTTATTGTAGAACATGGTGGAAGTAGCATCATGGGTGTTGCTTTGGAGCAGCAGTGAACGGCAGTTCTTTGTATGCATTTTAGGTCGTGTGGTGAATATCTCCAGCAGCGTTTCCGCGTTTAACTGAAATCAAAGAAAATAAAATGCTTTTAATTAAGACTCATTTCGTGTCAAAACAATTAATGAAATTAAAAGTAAGGTTTTTAAAAACACCTCATTTTAATAAATCTACAATGTAAATGTATTGTAAACTTGATCTTTGTGAAAGCGGCTCCACATTTCCCATTTTCATCTTCCCTCTTCAGGTATCCTTCCCCTGGACTCCAGCTTCTCGGGACTCTGTGAGGTCATTGACACCGATGAATATTATTTAGGTGAGATGCACGCTCTCTCACATCTTTATTATGTGAATTTTCTTTTTCCTACTTTCATCTATCAGATTTTATGACATAGTAAACTTACTTCTAAATTCTTTTAGGTCTATGTTATGTTTTTTATTCTGACTCTTGACTTTACTAAATATCACAGCACTGACTCACCGATCATTTCAGAAAAAGGGTCACTCTGATCTAAAAGGTGAACCCGTTCTCGGCTCTGCTTCAAAGTCGACGGGCAGAATGTTTTTGTGTGTGTCCACCTTACCTCTGCACCACATGAACTTTCAACTTTTTTGAATCAGAACTTTCAGATTGAAAGAAATGTAAAAGCACCTGAAGTGCACACACTGCCCTGATCCACCCCCATAGTCTCTGACTACATTTATAATCTTTGGAAAAGAACAGAGTGGCGAAGGTGCTGACGACGTCACACTCGCCACAGAATCACACTTTCCTGGAGCAGCTTTGGCCCAGCGTAGGTGCGTACCGACCCACGCTGACATTTCTGTAGCTCGCATTGAAAAACTTGATGATGATCTTTGAAATGTTCTCCAAAATCACATTTTGAGATACCGAAACTGGCCTTTTCTTGTCATTCCTTGTCATGTTTTCTGAGCTGCAGTGACTCATTCTCTCATATGTGTGTTTATGTGTTAAGCCAGAGTTATTCCAGTGTATAACAGCTCATCAGAACTGCTGTCGGCGGTTATGGAGGAGGCGGGAGGACTGGGAGTGGATATCGTTGTTGACTCTGGAGGTAAAAAAATACAATTGCTTTTCCTCACATCTTCTCCTTCTAGTTTAGATACTTGAAGTTTCTACACTATCTGGATGTCCAATCACGCAAAACTTCAGTTTTACAGATGTTTGCAGCCACTCAACAAGGCACCTTTGATGAGTTGTGATGGAATGACTAAAATATCTGTAATATAAAGACTTCCTGCCACAGCTCGTATATTGAGACTGTGTCGTGCACCTGTTTTATACGTCGTGGACACACCTGTGCTCCTCTCATGACTCCCCTCCATCCTTCATTGATGCATCCTTCAAGGTGCTGCAGTCAGACATCTGGTCACAGACAGGATGAAGAGGCACAAATCAGACACATTAGAAAAGACCTTTGTGTATGTTTGTGTGTGTGTGTGTGTGTGTGTGTGTGTGTGTGTGTGTGTGTGTGTGTGTATAGTTTACTCAAATTACTTCCACACAAACATGACATCATCAGTGTGCTGGGAGTGGGCGGCCACTGGGTTACATCCCACCAAGACCTGCAGGTGAGCTGGGGTCAGACTCAACAGCGGCATCATAAATTGATAACTTCATAGTTTATTATTACTATTTGAACAGAAATAACCTCTCTGGCTTTAAAGCATCTGAATGCAGCTCAGTCTGGTCTGTCTTCAGTATCACTTTCCTCACCTCTCTGTGTCTCGCAATTTGCAGTTGGATCCTCCAGATTGCAGATTACTTTATTTAAAATCAGCCTCTGTGTCCTTCCTCAACCCTGAAGTCTGGACAGCATCATCATCGCAGCAAGGAAGATACCTCCGTATCCTGTTCTTGCAGCATATAATCTAAAACCTTAACCCTGTAATGTGCATTTCTGAAGCCTTAACTGACTTTTGCAGATATTCTGAAGGATATCGTGGAGAAGATGTCATGATCCTACAAACCTTCCTAAAAGTTGAGAAATGCCTAAATATATATAGAGAAATGCCGAAATATTGTCCTCCTCGCAGTACAGCTCATCCATAACCCAACCCACGTGTTCCACTTGTTTTTCCAGGGATGCGCACCGATCCTGCGCAGAACGCCGCCCTGCTTTTCTTCTTTTTCTGTTTTTTTTACAGTCGTACATTTTCATGTGCAGCGCTTTTTGTCCTCTCTGCAGCCTCATTCAGGACCAAACCCCAGCTTCAGTAAGTGTGAGGCCTCCGCTACATCTTACAGTTTTCGTTTGTCGGCAGCTTGTTTGAATTTTAGCGGATTTAAGGAGGCGTCGGGCCGACCTGCAAACTGAAAGTCAGCGTTATGTAAGAGAGAGAGACGCTGGTGAAAGGTCTTCGGATTTTCTTCGATCAAAGGCTTTTAAACGGGAAGTTTGGACAAATTATTAATTCCACGCTGTAATTTACAGTCACGTGCTGTTTGCACATGCCTCGTAAAACCAGTGTTGTCAACTTAGCGACTTTGACGCTATATTTAGCGAGTTTTCAGACCCCCTTCGCGACTTTTTTCCTGAAAAGCGACTAGCGACAAATCTGGCGACTTTTTCTGGTGTTATTAGAGACTTATTTATGACGTTTTTTTTTGACGTGAACGAGGGTATCGCCCCTACTCTCGTTGGCACCTCGCCCGCGCCAAAGCGCTCACAGGTGGAGGATGGTCCTCACGCAGCTGCTATCAGGGTAGGAGATGTTCACCTCTATGCGTCCAAACTGCAAATGAATCGCGCATGAGCGAAGCCGCTGCTCCCGCACTGACTAACGCAGTCAGTTCTTCACTGTTATGCTGTTTTGTGGATCACAAGGTTTAAAACTACTCATAAACACACACACACAAAGTAACTCCACCAGAGTGCCTATTTCGGGTCACTTTTGCCGGTGCAAACCCGGATAAAGGTGCAGGGTTGGGATTGTGACATTAAAAAAACAAACAACAATTGCTAAAAGAAATTTAATTTGTAGTTCTAAATAAATTCTAAATGCATTTAAGACGTTTTTTACTCACTTTGTCTCTTCCACGATGTTATTTCTCTCTCCAACAACGTAGTTTACAATTAAACTAAACGTATTTAATCCACATTCTGCAGTGCATTTCAAAGCTGCAGTATGTGCATTCAATTCATTTCTCCCCTGAAACTATTGGAGCAATATATGTGGATTTGTTTTCCCACTATTTTTCTCTCTGGAACTGTCATCGTGACTCAGCAGGCTTCCGTTTTTCACTTTGACCTCTACGCACTTACAGAGCTGACTCACTTTATCTAAACGTAAGTCTGTTTGCCTCCTGTTGGTGTGTTTAACGCAGCGGTTGTCAAACCCTCTTTCACAAACAGAGAAAAACAGCCATGAAAAACTTTTGTTTGACATCCGCGAAACTGCTCATTTACCCGTGCAGCGCCCTACATGTACAATATCCAAGTAAGAAATACAGGAGATGAGTGATCTGGTTTACAATGAGGCACTGTTTCAATTCTGGTTTAAAAATATGCAGAACATCCCTTTATCCTAATTAAAGGGGGGGGGGAGAGAGATGTGTGTATTCATGATCGTTTATGTTAATGAGAGTGTGGGGAGTGAGTTGGAGGGTGGGGTGGGGTGGGCTGCTTTTAACCATGTAAAGCACTTTGTGCTACATTTTTTGTATGAAGAGTGCTTTATAAATAAAGATTGATTGATAATAAGCTATTCCAGTATTTACTTCCTTAAACTGACAGTGCACTTTTTTCCCTCACTGATTTTTCCCCTTAGACTTCCACCAGGCCTGAAGCTGCACTTAGATGTAACATACATATTCACGGTTGGGCCAGTTATCCAACAGCTACAGATGAAAAACTGGGGAGAGAATTTAAAAACTAAAGCAGACAAACACTAAATTGAGAAGGAAATAGGCCATCTATAGTATGTGACACATAAAGGACACACTTGGAACAAAGGGACAGAAAACTCAGGCGGTGGCTGCCCTCCCATGCAACCACCGTGTCAGGGCAGGCACCCCAGCCTCAGTGAGCTAACTGTGCCTTCAGGCTGCAGCAACTAGGAAAACTGCACAGCCCAGAGAACCAAATAAAAGTCTACATTGGAGCTGGACTGTATGCCTGCACAGGGACACAGGAAAAAGTGACAGCACTGTGTAGCATAGAGTGGAGAAAAAGTCAAAAACACCTGCCAGAAAATTTTCGTGCAGGAACCCCCCCCTCTTTTTTTTTTTTTTTAAACGTTTCCCACACAAATAAAAAATAAAACAACACAGATGATTGTGCTTAGCTGTGAGCACTGGGTCGTGATGCTGACATCTCAGTACATTCATGTCAGGCTGCAATTAAATGAATATTTTAGAGAATTCTTTAATTTTATCTGTTTGTACGATTTTTTTTTTAATATAATAAAAAAATCAAATTCAGCCTGATAATGTCGCTAAAACTTTATTTTTCTTAGATAGCCATTGCTCCCAGAGCAGGGCCCACCTCCAAGTTGAACCAACACTTGTGTGAACTCATGACTTCAGACACTGATGCCTCTCTCTCTTTGTACAGACATGTCAATCCGAGTTGCCGTGGTAACTGGAAGTAACAAGGGCATTGGTCTGGCCATTGTCCGAGCGCTCTGCAAGCAGTTTGAAGGAGACGTTTACCTCACTGCCAGAAATGTGTAAGTGACTCACCTGGTGATACCTGGACCAAGTTGATGATGTATCTGCAGTTTAATCATCTCAACACTTTTGCATACCCAGAGCTTAAACAAAACTAAAGCTCGGTCAGAGCTAACAGGAACTGCATCTGTGGTTTGTTTGTTCATCCAAGCTTCTTGCTTCAGGCTCTGAGCACGCACACGGGGGTAAAAAATAACGTTTGATTATTTCAACCTGAAATTGTGAACATGTCTTGCTGCACATTTGTTCCATTATGTGTACAGCAAATGACCGTGGTAATGTGGCCAGGCCAGTGATGGAACTTCATCATGTTTCAGGGCCTTTGGGGACAAAATGAAGAGAGAGAGACTGAGAATCTCAGCTGGTATAAGGTGTAAACGATGAGATCGAAGACAAAGTGAATATAAATGAGGATGTTTTGCTCCTCTTGCAGAGGCCGTGGTGAGGCAGCGGTGAAGGCTCTGAACTCAGAGGGACTGAAGCCCCTGTTTCACCAGCTGGACATCGACGATCTGGACAGCATCAAAACCGCCGCTGAGTTCTTCAAACAGAAATACGGAGGAGTGGACGTCCTCATCAATAACGCTGCGATAGCTTTCAAAGGTAGTTTACTTCTTGTGCTGATGTATATCATAGTGCTGTGGAGCTGCACACACTGTTGACGGAGATCACGCTGTCTCCTCAGTGGCAGACACGACTCCGTTTGGCACCCAGGCGGAGGTGACCCTCAAGACAAACTTCCTCTCCACCAGAAAGATGTGGACTGTCTTCAGTGAGATCATCAAGTCTGGAGGTACAGCTGGACCTAGGGCTGTGCGATATGACCAAAATCTCATATCCCGATAAAAGACCTCGACCGTCCCGATAACGATATAAATCATAAAAATTTTAAATTTTCTGTAAATTCTGTGAATCTCGGGCAGCTCGACTTGCGTGACGTGTTTCCAGCTGGGCGTCGTGTACCTGGAGTTGAGTGTTTTAACCGATGCATGAAACGATACATTTTTAGACATAAGTTGTAAAGGCCGCCGTTTTCTTTGTGAGTATTTATTTCACGGCGTGCTGCGGGGAAAAGCCTGTTCTAACGTTTGAGTCTAAGGTTTATTTTTTAGCACCTGGCAGCTCTTCTTTGTTCCTCATCCATAAACACTCTGCATACTTTTTCACGCGATTCAGTTTATTTTGAAAAGTTTCAACAGGATCTTGAGCTTTATTCTGAAAGGTTTATGTCGAAAATAAACAAGCGGACACGTGATGGTTTTACCGTCGTTGTTGCTAACGACAACGCATAAAAACAGTCGCTTGTCCGTCCTTAGTGTGGTTATATTAAATATAAGAGAAAGAGAGAACTTTAAGAAATTAATACAGCCACTACAGTGACCATCAGAACCATGAAAAAATATTGCAGTAAACAGTTTATTTTGCGACACCATGAAACAAATGATAGCGCAAAATGAAACGATAGATGTTTTTATATCGTCATCTGATATATATCGTTATATCGAACAGCCCTAGCTGGACCCAGTCTGCATCATATTTTACTTGAAAGTTTGCATTTTTAATTGAGTGAGCGTACATGTCAGTAACTGATAATGAGAAACTTTTAGTTTTTAAATATATTAGACATCAATCAGGAAGAGTTGTTTGGAGTCTTCTTCTTGCTATGATGTCTGTATCCTAGCTGTATGCCAGTTCGCTTCTTCAGATGATAAAACTATGCATCTTCGATTATGCAGCCTCCCTTCCTATTTGTCCTCCAAATTAATTTTAAGACCTCCTTCAGCATGGCTTGCTGAGATTTATTTCTGCCTGACAGGCAGGAGAGCAGAGGACAGATGAGAAGAATAGGCATTGGCTAAAGAAAGCAGGAAAGCTTTTTCACAGCAGCCATTCTGATACATCATAGCTACATAAACACGGGTCTAAAAAACAAGAACACACATTTAACTGAACATCAGAAGTCCTCCTGGAGAACCTGCTCAAAGCTTATCCATCAGTCTCTGAAACAAACCTCAGATGGAAGCTGTTTGGAGTTTAAAGTTTAAAGGACTCTAAGAGCACGAAGGAGACAAACGTCCTGTTTGTTTTCCATCTTCAGATTCTTGTGTGTGTACGTCTGTGTGTTTTAGGTCGTGT